CAAAGGAACCTGGAAGACTCCATCCGTAACCGGGAATGGAAAAGGAATGGAACGTCCTCCTAAAGTCTAAGACACTAGACAAAATTCCTCAGAACTTACAACCGAGAAAAATCAAAGATTTTCCTTGAACAACGACGAGTGCTGATTCAGTGGTGAAAATGGGGAAACACCAGAACATCTTATCACTGCGTGCGCCGAAATGACGACCGTTCGTGCCATGAACTTTGGTACGGCTGATGTCGATGATTAAGAGCTGGCCTCTGGAGCCGCCTCATAACTGGTGATAACTCAAGAAAGGGGAACACACAATAGATTTTTAAGGTCGCGGTGATTAACTCCCCTCCTGAACATTCTACATTCTGCCTTACCAATATATCTAAGTAAAATTTCATGTGGAGTATTAAAATACCGCACTCGAGTACTGGAGGGCTTCGAAAAACTAAAATATATTTTTATGATTTAAAGGATTATTGGTAAAAAGCAGGTAAGTCAATTTTTTTCTATATTTAAATATTCGATGCATTTAGTTCAGAGTGAATGTAAGCATCAGCATAAAAATTTATACAAACAGCATAAAAGTTTATACCGTAAAAAACGGCGCCAGCGATGGCTATGAAATGAAGATCGCTGTCATTTTATATGTAAATTTATATGGGAGTAATTTCCCAGTCAACTGGACGCCGTTTTTTTCTCGATCATACGGTATTACATTAATTTTAAGACAATACGTTAAGTGTAATCCTTATTCTAATTATCCTTAATTTTAATTATCCTTAATTTTAATCGTATTTAATTAACACAAATGCATTTTTTATTTAGTTAAGCACGTATCTAATAAAAAATAATTTTAAGTGATAGCTATACAGGGTGTCCCCAGAAATAACTGCAAGTATTTTAAGGGATGATATATCTGGTTTAAAGAAACTTATTTTCTCTTTACCCTTTTTAAAATAAATTGAAAATAACCGAGTTATTTAACTTTGAAAATTTAAAAATATTTCAACATTTTGAGAACCGCCGCGCTGGCAAAAATCGGAAATTACTCGGATCTCGGGATGCTCGCCGGCCACTGTTGGCACATCGACTAGAATGACATAAAAACTACATGTAAAATTGTACACCACCCAAGAGGTTTTCCAAAAGTGCGTTATTTTTTTTAAGTGGGTGATCGTCAGTAGCCCTACTTCCAACATGATCTGTTCGAATTTAGACCATTTTAGAATATAAGTATCTAGTTTATTAAAGCAAGTTTTTTAACACATTTTGTTGTATTTATGTAAACTATTATGTGAAAAATAATATTTTGCAAGTGATAGTTTTGTGATGTTCAGTTTAATAGATATGTGGGTGTGTAGTGGATGGTATAGTAGTTATATATTCTGGATAAAATACTGATAATTTTTTATCAAAAAAGTAAGCACTAACTAAATATTAAAAGGTTACCCCTGTTGATTGAACGATTGAAAATATTTCCTAACATTGAGAAAAAGAAGCTGTAATAATTGTTATGATTTATTCTTTCAGTTTACTCAACTGCAAAAAGTTCGGTAAAAAGCATTTAAAACATTTAAAACATACCGCGTTTCTCTAGAATTAGTATAATAATAAATCTGCATTAATATGAATAAAATTAATATGATTAGCAACAATGATTTTATCCATTTACAGTTTTCCTTTTGTAAAATTTTTGTGAACTAATAATTGTAAGATTAGAATTGTGGTATTTTTTATTTCTCAATATATGCCCTAAGTATGATGTTTTTCTTATTTTATTATATTAAGCAATTCTCTTTCTCTGTCTGTTCTGTTGTAAACTTCGGTAATTGAGATGTGGGCTGTCCATGAAATTTTAAACATTCTTCGATATATCCATATTTCGAACGATTCGAGGCGATTCATCTGTTGAATTTTCAGTGTCCATGTTTCTGATCCGTATAATAGGATTGACCAAACATAACACCTGACGAGCCTAGTTCTCAACTCAAGGTCCAATCTGGGGTTCTGGAAAACTTTCTTCATTTTTAAAAATGCATTTCTCGCTTATTCTATACTGTTCAATTTGCGAAGTTTGAAACTTTCGTATTCATTTTCGGCGCCATATTGGTTTTCACGTATTTCTTGACTTGGTTCATGAGTTGTTTATATCTCTGGTTGTAAACTAACAATAACAAATTTAATAACAAAATATTAAACAATGACAAATTTATTGTAGCCTACCCGCAGTGTATACAATGAATAAATACGTCCTCTATTAATATGTTCATGGATCTTATAAGCAGGAATTCCAGGAGACAAACGAATACTGTGACTTGTTTTGCTGCTTTTTGTTCTTTATCTTTCACGATTTCTCTGGAATTTATTCTTTGCTCAGTCCAGCATGAAATTCCTAAAGCCTCCGATGCTCTCTATAAAACACGTGAATATTTTCGATTTAGTTACAAAATATTAACTCGGTAGTTGTCCAATTACATCGTAAACAGCCGACACAGGTAAAAGTTTTTTTCCACCATCTTTTTCGAGTTTCAAATACTCTTGAGCCGTTATTCTTTTTCACTAAAACGGGACGGCATTTTAAACACAAATTAAATCACAAATAACTAAATAAACACAGAAAACCCCACAAAAATTTACAGGAAACTATCGGAGTCGTTAAAATTTAACGACAACGTTGACACTCGGCGATATTCTTTTGTTCGATTTCGGCGGGTAACACAATAAATATGATGTTTGCCTTTTTCTATTCGTGCACATTAGACAAGGAAGTACGATTCTTTATACGTAATGAAGGTGATCCGTGTGTAAAACGAAAAAAAAAATAATCGTATGATGTAAGAAATATAAAGGACTTACGTTTTTGACACAAAATTTCCATTTCATGTGATAAATATGGATAAGAGAGAGAATGACAATATGTGACGAAAGACTCAAACTTCGCAAATTGAACACTATTCTGGTTTTTATTTCCACGTCGTTGTTCAAGGTGTTAACTATCCAGGACCCTAAATATTTGAACTTTTAGACCTGTTCTAAGGTATTGCCCTCTATTTTTAATAGGAATTGGTACATTTTGATTCTTTCCAAATACCATGACTTTGGTTTTAGAGGAATTGGTCTTCATTCCGTATTTCTTACACGAGCCTTCAAGTCGCTCCGCTAAACTCTGGAGTCCAGTAGTAGAGTCGGCAATAAGAACTGTCTCTTAGGCAAATTTAATGTTGTTAATGACTTTGCTGTTGACTTTAATACCGCAATCTGTTGAAGAGAAAGTTTCCTAAAAAATTGCAGTTACCCACCAGTTAAAATACTTGCACTTTGTAACGTTTTTAGTTCGTTACATGTCTTTTTTTATATATGATATATGATGTTTGGCGTATCGTCACCTGATTCCGTATCGATCAGGCCTGATAATTTGTTTGAGGCGCTTGGCGTAGTTCTAAAGTTTTCAAGCCGACAATCCTGCGCTGCTCTGTGGGCATTTATTTTCAAAGTTTATTCGCTCTCCGCGAGGTAACGTCACTTTTGGTTTGGCCGTTTAGCCGGGCGGTTGCCATCAACCCGGCTTTTAGAAATGGTAATTTAAATTTTGCTGCATAATTTGAATCAGCTGCTATTTAGAAGCTACAGGTAAAAATGAGATATTATGTTTTTTTGATTCGATATTATAACTGCGTATTTTTAGGGTAGAGTTTTGGATTGGCCCACCTCAACTCATATTTGGTGTTTGCTGACACGTTGGTTTTCTTTTTTTGTCCTCCAGTAAGTTAATGGAAGAAAGGACAGTTCTTTTGTTTATTATTGAGCCCTCGGAAGTATTTCAAGGTAGGTTTATTTTGTTTATTAGATCTTGTTTGGTTTTAAACAAGAGTTTCGTATTTTTAGAGTCCAAAGTACGAGCATTATCCAAGGTCCTAGTAGTTCCCTTCCAAGGTACGGGTAGTGTTCCAAGGTACGGACATTATCATATGTAAGGATATCCTATGGATGAGTGTCCACTGTGTGCATGGTTTGTCTCATGTACAGATTGTCCCAGTATGGATGTAGTGTAACCTTCATGCTGCTTTGCTCTTATTTTCAAGCCTAGCTGATAGTTACGGCTAATTTGGTTCATGGTGTCCTCGTTCTGACCCCTTTTATTGTATTGGTCAACAGAGAAGCCGAGAGGAAGTGCAGAGGTACAAGTCCCACCTCACGCTGTACTCTTTGAAGCAGGATTGACTCAAGAACGAACAGCTAAGTTTAGTTCTGGTTCTATGTTTTACATTTTCTATATTTTCAGTCTTGAGTAATATCGTACCGATTTTACGCTTAGTGGTTAAATTACTTGTGTCAGATTAGTATTTAAAATATGATTTAGATCTTAGCTTTAGCTTTCTTTGCGAACATTACGTCTTGTAATAGCATTACTTTCTATATATAAATAGCGTCATTTTGACAGATGAATAACCGAACAGATTCTAGAATCTACGGCTATTATATATATATATATTGTATTTTTCTATAGTCTTTATCATTAAACATATTTAGTACTATTTTTAACATAACTTTCTTTGACAAATAACCACTATAAATACTATAATTACTAGAGTTCTACAATGTCATTTACTATCAACATCGTGAATAAATATAGTCATTATTAATTAAGTAATATACAACTGTGTTTTCTTTCTCTGTTCATGCCTGGCGCCCAATATTTGTATTTTTGATTTATTAATGTTAGTTAGTTTTTTCTCCGGTGAAATACCTTATCCACGACTGCTCTCTGATGAAAAGCTGCCGTTCGCAGTGGTAGTTGTTTAAAAAACGCTATAACTTTTCTGAGACACCCTGTATAACAAACGGATAGCATAAAATTGTTCAATTTAATGTTTATTAGCTGATATCTCGGATAACATGCAATCTGGCATATTAATGGATGAAAACTTAATATTTCGTGTTTAATCAATTCCTTTAAAAACTCATATTGATAACCGGACATTAATAAGCTGCAGTTTAGATGTATATTTAAAGGAAATTTTGGCTACAAAAAATTACAGTTCAAAATGAATATTATACTCGTATATGCTGTAACCATTCTTTTTGCTTATAACCTTATATTGGTCGACAATGCTCCTCAGGAAGACAATATACTTTCATCATTAGGTAAGTGATTATTTAAAAGTACCATAATGAGTTTAAAATTTCTTTGTATATTAAAATTTTTACATCTTTCTTCATACTAAAATGTTTTTTTTTATATTTTAAAGTTGCAGTGGTTAATAAATCTTATATCCCTTATACCCCGTTGAATTAATAATGTAACATAACTATTGTTTATAGAAAGTACAGTAAATTACAGACTTTTAAACACACTTTCAATCAGCAAGATTCCTTTGATATCTTATTATGCAAAGGTGCTACTATGGGTATATATTGCTTTATATTTTTGTTAAACAGATGCGTTAACACATCTGTTTAACAAAATATATCACTCCAAGAAATTACCGGAGGATTGGCTTAAAGTGACCTTTGTTGTCATTCCCAAGAAAAATAATCCGAAGAAATGCGAAGACTTTAGATTTATTAGCCTCATCAGTCATGCACTTAAAGCGTTCACCGTAAAATATATAAAAATGTGATGAAACGAGCGGAGAGATGCAGTTTGGATTTATTAAGGGACTAGGAAACGTGTACTTGTGAAACACTGATGACACAGATCACAAGTACATGCGAGAGGTAGCCGACGCTCTGTATAGAGTATGGCACTGTAAGAAGAAGAAGGAGAAGGGACCAGGAACTAGTCCTTGTTTTCGCTAAAGCTTTTGGTGCAGAAATGTTACGAGCAACAACATATCTTTATTTGTTTTATTGATTACAGAGAGCATTTGATAATGTCAAGTATGATTTGGATTAGTATGATAATGTCAAAGTATAAGGATTAGTATGTTAATGTCATAGATTAGGACATCCAAATCATAAATCAAGTATACTGGAACCAGGCAGTCGAAGTGAAGATAAATGACGCAGTCTCGACCGAAGCCTTTGAAGTAACCAAATGAGTACGACAAGGATGCATTGTCACCGATGCTTTTTAAACATCTATATCGAAAAAATATTCCAGCTTGCTCTCGAAAACGAGTCCAGAGCATTAAGGGCAATGGAAAGCCCACTAATAATATCAGATATTCGGACGATACTGTTTTATTGGCCTCCACTATGGAAGAACTGCTAAATAAGATGAATAGTGTCGGACAACAGTACGAGCTACATATTAGTACTTCAAAAACAAAAACCATGGTGGTTAGTAGATAAATCCAAAATGTTAACCTCATTATAGGCGGCGAGATTATTCATCAGGTGGATAGGTTTAAGAATCTCGATTCGATAACAAATGGGACTGCGGAGGAAATTAAAATACGAATCGGCATCGGCATGACCAAAACAACATTTCGAAGGCTTCTGAATATCCTCCTACAACAACGCTTACCATTATACCTCCGACTAATAGTGATAATGTGCTATATATGGTCCGTCCTGTTGTATGGTGCGGAAACGTGGTAAATCGAAGTAAAGTCCCTAAATCGCATTGAATCGTTTGAAATGTGGACTCCTTCTGACTATTTAAGATTTTGTATGTCAATCATATTTCAAACGAAGAAGTCCAGCGAACAGCCGGTGTCGAAAGACAGCTGATAGTAAAGCCTCGGAAAATGTCATTCCGAAACAGGTCCCGCAGGGTAAAATTGAGGGTCGAAGAGGGCCAGGAAGAAAACAACACATAACTCAGGTATTAGTGCGGGATATCGGACGCGATAACCCATATTTCGTTGGGCAGAAGACAATACCCAAACAATAAAATGAAGTACATAGTGTACAGGGTGGTCGAAATTGGTCTGTTTTAACAAAGAAAACCTATTTCCTGATTAGACTGTGGCAAAACCGACATATATGTCATGGGCGCGATTTGTTAGAAACATTTAACTGCCAACTGAGATAGTTTTTGAATTTTTTACCATTTGGAAAAATTGCCCATAACTTTTTTTACTTTGTGGAATAATAGAATTCTGTAATAACGTTCTTAAGGCACTTTTTAGGCACAATCCCACTGGATTCGATTGAGTCATCAGTTTTTTTTCTCTACTTGCTCTTTTTGTCAGAAATAATAAAAAAATATAATTTTTTAAATGGAAATTATAGTTGGCTATGAACTTGAAAATGCTGAACCCTTTCCAACGGTATAAAGTTATGTGTATTTATTTCTAAGAATGAGAGAAATATTAGGTTTTTTATCTTTGTGTCGAAGCGGGCCTATTCTCACAACTATTTCTAAGAAGGAGAGGTCTATCTATGTACCCTTAACTTTATATCGTTGGAAAGGGTTAAATGCCAGCACTTTTTTAAGTTCATAACTAACTCTGATTTCCATTTAAAAAATTATATTTTTTATTGTTTCTGATACAAAGAGCAAGCATAGAAAAAAACTGACTACGCCACTGGATTGTGCCAAAAAAGTACCTTTTGAACGTTATTACAGAATTTTATTATTCCACGAAGTAAAAAAGTTATGGGCAATTTTCTAAATGGTAAAAAATTCAAAAAGTATCTCAGTTGGCAGTGAAAATATTAACAGGCGGTTTACGCCATTAACCGTGTCTCAGAAATGGAACCCATGATATCTATGTGGTTTTTGCTCTATATAGTCAGGAAATAGGTTTTCTCTATTAAAACAGATCAATTTCGACCACCCTGTACAAATGATTCCCAACGTACACGATTGCATCTGGGACCGGAAGAACATGCTTTTATAACTAACGCTATTTATCATTAATATATATAATTATTTATTATAATATATTTATATACCCATATACCTTTTGTTAAACTCTAGTTACTTGTTTTACTAATTTTATTTACTAATTAGGGATCTTCCCTTTTTATATAAGAATATAGATTTAATTACCTGGCAATGGTAGTATGAACTTAGTAAGTGAAGTGTCCATTAAGAGTATTTTATAATTACAATATCAATGCATTGTGGTAGATTTGTGTAGCTGTTAATAGTTTTGTCCAGCTTATATTTTATTTAATATATAATAAATCATTAGAAAATATATTTAATTTCAATAAATTTTGCTATTATGATTTTCAAGGTTAATAGATTTTGATAAAAGAAATATGTTTTTCCAGTACCGTTTTTCAATTAAGTCCAAAACAGCCGAGTTATTTTAATGTGTAAATTTGAGAGAAAAAAAATATTTTTGCTAACATTTTGAGAACCACTGATTTTTTTCCGTTTTTTAGTTTCTCTAATCTTTTTCCTTTAACCAGGATATTTTGTTGTTCAACTGAAAAGTTAAAAATTTTCTAAAAGATTTTTGGAAAAATACAAAATTTAAAAAAAATCACGAAAAAAACCCTCATGGGCGTGAATAGACGTAAAAATATCTACACTTGTTTAAGATACTATATTACACCTATTTATGATATAGCAATTATTATACTCATAAGTTTGCCCAGAAAAAAATAAAATAATAATGTTTTTTATGACGTGTATTTATTTATTATTTTTATAATTTCAGTAAGTGCAATTAGATGTAGCCTTGAGGAGACCGTCAACAGCAGAGGAAATTATTCTCATAGTCAATGTCAGCAATCGTGTTCAGTTAAGGGTTACACTAACGGTTATTGTAAAACCAATGGAATTTGTAGATGTTACAATAGAGCTTGAGCCTCATAAGTTTGGAGTACAATTTTATTATGTTCTGTTGAGTTTTATGAAATAAATGTTTTCAGACCCATATAATCTATACTGATATATAAAATCCTTAAGTGACTGACATACTGATTAATCACGATCCTGCTCAAACCACTCAACGTAAGAAGGTCAATTTGGGCATAGAGGTTGATTCTAGGGTGTAGAGCTTCGATAAGAAGGGATTTTTCGAAATTTCAGTTCTAAGAGTTTGAAACCACCCCTCAAATATTACAATATTATTTATTTAAAAAACGGTCAAGTTTCCGAAAAAAAACGCTTATACACGTATATTTTATTTTGTTTTTACATATTTTAAGATTTTTTAAAAATGTATACAGGGTGTTTCGAAAAATCTGATCATTGATTAATCACTATCCTGCTTAAAGCGCTTGACGTAAAAAGCCGATTTTTGGAAAACAGATTGGTTTTAGGGTGTAGAGGTTCGATAAGAAGGGATTTTTCGAAATTTCAGTTCTAAGAGTTTGAAACCACCCCTCAAATATTACAATATTATTTATTTAAAAAACGGTCAAGTTTCCGAAAAAAAAAACGCTTATACACGTATATTTTATTTTGTTTTTACATATTTTAAGATTTTTTAAAATGTATACATAGGTGTTTAAAAAATCTGATCATTGATTAATCACTATCCTGCTTAAAGCGCTTGACGTAAAAGCCGATTTTTTGAAAACAGATTGGTTTTAGGGTTTGGTTTGGTTTGGCTTTTTGTCGAATTCTAAGGGGGTGAAACCACCCTCAAATATTAGAATATTTTTTATTTAAAAACCGGTGAGTTTTTCGGAAAAAGTCTTACACACGTATATTTTATTTTGTTGTTTTACATATTTTAAGATTTTTTAAAAACGTATATAGGGTGTTTCATAAAATATGACCATTGAGTAATCATGATTCTGCTTAAACTGTATCCTAACTATACTAGGATTTCCTATACCTCAGATTTTGAATAAAAAGCGATTTTTAAATAAAATGGCAATCAAGATGGCTGGTATCGCCATGGCAATTTTCTAGTGACAGTAACTATTTTCGTAACTAGTAACTAGTAACAGAAACAAAATATTTTATGAACATTATTAACATTATTATTTAAACAGTTTTCTAAAATTTACCCACAATAGTTTAATAAGTAAGTATTCTTTATTTTATGAAGAAAAATAAAGCCATATCTGCTGGTGGAACGAATGGATATGTTACTAGTGATTTTATTTTGTGAGGAAAATTTGTTGAGGAAAATTGGCCTCAAGAGCTAATGCTCAAAGATTTTGAAACACGTTCCTTTGAAAAACTACTTGTCCTATTTCCTATTTCGCAGAATTGGTAGTGTAGTTTATAAAAAACCTATTTGGCAGAAACCTGTCGTTGGAAGTAGAGAAATTGAATTTGCCGTAATTGGCTCTTTTATAAAAAAAAATCATATACCTACAATCTACAAGTTATTGTAAAATAAAACAAAGAACTACTTCTTCGTTTTACTTGATAGAATAATAAATACATATTAATAAATATTATTTATTAAACTATTGTAGGTCAATTAAATAAACTGGTATATATTTAAATAATGTCTATAAACTAATGTCGATTTTGAAAATAGTAACTAACTGTCACTAGAAAGCTGCCCTAACCTAACCTAACCTAACCTAACCTAACTAGTGAAAATATTTGCACTTATTTCTGGGAAACCCTGTATATGCGATTAAATATTTCATTTTCTAATAGTTTTAATTTTCTAATTATTATTTTTTATTAAACGCTAACAAGCCTGCATCTATTTTAAGTTTTAATAATATTTAGTTCTGAAAGTTAGTTCTTTCCTCGGTTCTTTCTTTAAGTACTATTATAAGGTAAGGATAAAATATAGAAAAATTAATTCAAAAAGACTAATTGTATACAAAAATAAAAAAATAGTAAGATTTCAGGACTTTATATTAACAATGGCACCGCTGGCTGTATTCCGAAAACACGTTGAGATGACAGTTAGCATGTTTACCTCCCACTCCAAATGTTTAGGCGGGAATCACTTTGTCGCTTCTCTACGATTGTTCTTCTCTGTCAGAACTATGCCCAAGAGTTTCAATGAGTGTGTTAGAAATCGGGGGTCAGCAACACACTATTGACCTTTGATTTTTCATTTAGTGGTATGATAGAGATGAAAACCCAAACCACTACCCAGTCAGAATCTGCTCTAATGTAAATCAACAATTATTAAAGCTTATTATTTAAGTGCGCTACATTTTGAAAGTTATAATTTCCTTCAAATCATTCCTCTCTCATTACTTACAGTATATCAATAGTAGCTTAGGATATACGAGTATCAGTGGTAGTTAAATTGTAATACTTACAATATATCAGTAGTATCTTAATGGAGAAGAAGGAATGTCGAAAAGAACAATAAATCAAAGAGGCGAAGTGATCATATCTATTACAACGTAAAAGAGTGCTGAATAAATAAAGTAGTAATAAATAATAACTTTTTTTAATTATCAAATATACTAGGGACCTAATGTTATTGAAATATCTGTAGAATAAGTGGAAAATAATAGAGGTTAGGGAATGCAATCCCGCAAATGCTGGATCCCGCAAATGCTGGATCCCGCAAATGTGGGATCCATCTGTGATTCCGCGGGATCGAGGTTGCGAGATTTATCGTGCGGGATTCGCGGGATTGACACATTACTACTGGGTAACACAAATACGTTTAAAATAAAGTATACGGAGTGTACCGCTTAAATTTCTGTCCCGATATTGAAGGATGGCTATAGAATTTCAATGCATTTCCTACATAAGTCTATCCTTGTGTTGTAGGAGGTTTGACTAAACAAGGATGAACCTATGTCTTCAAACCATTCGACTCGATATTCTGTCCTTCAATACTGGGACGTAAATCCTCGACCGTCGTATATTTTATTTAAACGTATTTGGGGTAACAGAATCGATCTCGATCAAGGTCAAATCCCTTCATTCCGGGCCGATGAGTCGACGCTCGGAACCTGGGGGACCCGTTTAACTAGTACTTGTGGACAATTTCGTCAAATAAACTGCCGGACATAATTATCGGGACAAGCAAAATTTTAGGGTAAATTTAAAGTTGAATATCTCTTGAACTAAAAAAGATTTTGGGATGCGGTTTGGACCAGGTTTTAGATGCATCTATTGTGGTTTTCGAAGATGCTATGTGGTTTTCGAAAATATATTTAACGAATTTTCGTATACCGGGTGTTTTATAAGAGAGTGAAAATTTGGTTCAGAATCTTTTTTACCGCAAATTTACGAGTTTTAAAAATCGAAATGTTTACCAAGTAATGACCGAGGGGTAAACACATAGGGCAAAAAGTGTACACCTAAGATCCTCTATCCTTAGTAATATCCCCATCCTCTGTACATCCCCTAGTACATCCCCCTACATCCAGCTTAGTGTACATCCACTACATCCTCGGTACATCCCCTACATCCTCTAGTAGATCCACGGTACATCCCGTGAAATCACTTCATTGTACATGAAAATAACAAAACAAACATTTACTGGATCTGGATAAAATTGATAGTTAACAGTAAGGCTCACCTAGGGGTACTCCGCCCCCAGCCACTGACATCACTGACATTCTATTCAATATATCCCATTCCATATCTTCCATCTAATTCAAATATTATTCGGATCTATTGGTTAATAATCTTCAACAACTAGCTAGTGTCACCTAAAATGCTATAGGGGCTTCCCCCGGACGCAACTCTGCCGCTAAACAGATTCGCATCCCAAACGATGAGGCTAATTGGGGTCCTCACGCAACGCCCCACCGTCTCAATCGAGAAGCAAGAGAGACCTCAAACTCTCAAGACCATCCTCGAAGGAACGACGTCACAAGAGGTTTTCTACTTCCATAGTCAAAAGACTCGCTACTTCCAAATGTCAGCTCTGTGACAAAATACAACACTACACAGCCGGCCGGCCTATCAACAACTGACTGACCTGCCGCCTGCCGAGCTAAGCATCCTCTTACATCACAATTTTACCTGATCACAAATATTTACATCGTTTGCCAATGAATCATACTGTTTTATCTAATCGACTTTCAAATAGAGTGTTTTAGCATTACCAAATAAATAGAGAGTTTCCGAAGGAATGCATATTGTTTATTAGAATAGTAAATAAATAAAAGCATTATTATAACAAACTTATTTTCCAAGTTTTACAAATATGCATTTTTAGTCATATGTTATAAGTGGTACAAAAGCGTATAACTAACACAAGTTAAAAAAAACTTCAACATCAGAATAATATTTAATATTAAATATATTTTTTGAACACCCTGTATAAATCGGTCCAAATTTCTGTACAGCTAGTTTAAGATACACGCTGTATCAATATATTGTGCGCCTATGCAAAATGTACCACGCCATTTGTACCATTTAGGACCAAATGTATGACTATTGTTTACAGTCCCGCAATTTTGCGGATCCGCGGGATTGATTGCTTTAATCCCGCGGGTTTGCGCAAGATTTTGGTGCGGGATTGCATTCCCTAATAGAGGTGTAGTAAAACCTCACCTTTAATCATTATACACTAACTAGTGTGTACCCGCGACTTCGTTCGCGTCGAATTAATCATTTGTAATGGTGATGATAAAGCAAAGCAAGAATTTTCATTAACATACAAACTGGATAAAATTTTCTCACATTTATGTCAGCATGAGAAAAAACATATTGGCGATATTATTATAAAACTTATTAATATTTGAGGGATAGTTTCATCTCGTTGGAATTTGACTTTCGAAAAATCCGTTTGCCAAAAATAAGCTCTTTACGTCAAGCAGTTTAAACAGAATCGTGGTTAATCAATTACCGAACTTTTTGGAACACCCTGTATGATTTTTTAAAAAAAATCAAAATATGTAAAAAAATAAAATAAATTATGTGTGTCCAAGCGTTTTCCCGAAAGACTAATCGTTTTTTAAATAACAAATATTGTAATATTTGAGGGGCGTTTTCACCCCCTTGGAATTTGAGATTCGAGAAACCCCTCCTTATCGAACCTCTACACCCCACAGGAAATCCGCTTGCCAAAAATCAGCTTTAAACGTCAAGCAGTTTAAGCAGAATCATGATTACTCAATGGTCATATTTTATGAAACACCCTATATACGTTTTTAAAAAATCTTAAAATATGTAAAACAACAAAATAAAATATACGTATGTAAGAGTTTTTCCGAAAAACTCACCGGTTTTTAAATAAAAAATATTCTAATATTTGAGGGGTGGTTTCACCCCCTGGAACCGAGGAAAGAACTAACTTTCAGAACTAAATATTATTAAAACTTAAAATAGATGCAGGCTTGTTAGCCTTTAATAAAAAATAATAATTAGAAAATTAAAACTATTAGAAAATGAAAGATTTAATCGCATATACAGGGTGTCCCAGAAATAAGTGCAAATATTTTCACTAGTTAGGTTAGGTTAGGTTAGGTTAGGTTAGGTTAGGTTAGGTTAGGTTAGGTTAGGGCAGTTTTCTAGTGACAGTTAGTAACTATTTTCAAAATCGACATTATTTTATAGACATTATTTAAATATATACCAGTTTAATTTAATTGACCTACAATAGTTTAATAAATAATATTTATTAATATGTATTTATTATTCTATCAAGAAAAACGAAGAAGTAGTTCTTTGTTTTATTTTACGATAACTTGTAGATTGTAGGTATATGATTTTTTTTATAAAAGAGCCAATTACGGCAAATTCAATTTCTCTACTTCCAACGACAGGTTTCTGCCAAATGGGTTTTTTATAAACTACACTACCAATTCTGCGAAATAGGAAATAGGACAAGTAGTTTTTCAAAGGAACGTGTTTTAAGATCTTTGAGCATTAGCTCTTGAGGCCAATTTTCCTCAACAAATTTTCCTCACAAAATAAAATCACTAGTAACATATCCATTCGTTCCACCAGCAGATATGGCTTTATTTTTCTTCATAAAATAAAGAATACTTACTTATTAAACTATTGTGGGTAAATTTTAGAAAACTGTTTAAATAATAATGTAAATAATGTTCATAAAATATTTTGTTTCTGTTACTAGTTACTAGTTACGAAAATAGTTACTAACTGTCACTAGAAAATTGCCATGGCGAAGGGATTGCGGGATAGTATATATCTACATAGAAAAACTAAAATGTATTTTTATGATTTATGTAAACCTTGAAAGATATCTATGTATTTTAAAATAATAAAACAATAGGAGCTTATTATAACAACCAGCATAAACATTTATATTGTTGTATTTATTTTAAAAGACAAAAAGTGACAATACATTACGCGTTCCACATTGAATGAGTATTATGGTTTATTATCCCAACATTTACAATTCCCATCTATCTCACATAGGCCGTTACTGTACCCTTGAGCAGCACAGGACTTTTGGCATACACTATCACTGTAATTTCCTGCAGTGTGGAAGTTATTCTCAATGGTACATTTAAGCGCTGTAACTAAAAATATAAGAGAAATAATTAATTCACACTGCTTCTTTGAAATATAAAATATTTTTTCTATGACTAGCCTAGAAAATGCAGTTTGACCTTTAAATAAGAAGACTAAGAAAGGAGCATATTAAAAATCTTAGGTCCACCTCGATGGGACTCAAATATGGCCGACTTAAATTCCGGTTTATCAATGCCGTTTTAATTTTATTTAAAAAATATAAAACTATGATGTAGGGTAGACGTGGGGTAGACTCAATTTTTTTTTTTTATTTTACGTTGTGAATAAATGTTGTTAGTTATTAAATTTTTTATAAAAACATATTATTATAATAAAAATAGATAAGTTTTAATATTTATTTATTAACACAAACATCCGACACGCTACTGAAGCAGGTAAGTCAAATTGATGTATCTAAATTCTTTGACATCTAATCTTTGACAAGTAGTAAATAAAAACAAAAATGCAAGAAAAAAATATAATTAGTTAATTTAAGTGAATTTCATAAATGATCGGTTCACTACACGTATGTACCTATATTATATAGTCACTTACTAGAGAAAAGTTGTTCCATTATTTCACTCGATTTTTGCCGAGATCTACCGCACGCTACACAACCAACTATTTTAGAGTCTTTTTCGATAAATCGCGATAGTGTCATTATTAATTTAAGTTCTGCCACAATTTCCATTTAGACTTACTACCTTTATACAACTGTCAGTAGTAGAATAAATAATAAATAACATAATATAAGCTCCGTAAAGACTGACAAATCCACAAAATTTCAAATCAAATTCAAATGTGTCAAATGAATCGTCAAACAGAACTGTCAAGGATCCCCACCCTAGAGTCCTTTTTTCCGCCCACCATGCATGAATACATGGATAGCATTATGCTCCTTCCTTAGTCTTTTTATTCAAAGTGTTTGACACACGGAAAACTCGATCTGAAATTGGCGTTTTGCAAACTGTGTGCTAAGGATTTAGCGCACGACATGTGTCATTTTGCACATGACTTGTGCCAATTTTAACATTTTTAACCTCTAATGTTTAGCTGAAACCAAACGCAACGCAGCCGTCAGAAAAGTGTCATCATTACATCGCAAATTATTTCACAAAACTGGCAAAGACTGAGTGAGTCTGCTGCTAATTTGTAGTCGTAGAAAAAATAGCGTAAAAAACTCGTTTGAAAACTTCTTTGTACACTCGTTCGACTTGTGGCTCTTGCCTGCGGCTCGAGCCAACAAACTGTCGAACTCGTGTGCAAAACGTCATTTTCGAAACTCGTTGTTTAATATACTATTAATATGAGGAAAGATGTAATAGACGGAGAGCTGACTACATAAAAAACCTTATCATCGTTACATTGCGGCGACTTTTTAAAAGGTTAAGAAAAATTATAAAAAAAGATGGTAAAAATTAAAAAGAAAACCGCAGCGTACGGCTGCTCTTCGTCTGGTGAACAATAGGTGTAGGTTCATTTAATTATTTTTGCATACTATTGGGCACCACTTAATTTAAGCCAAGTTAAGGTGATATTTAAAAAATTAAGAAAACTACCACAGGCTAAAGATATTCAGTAATGATATATCTCAAATTAAAACAACAAAATTTAATATAAACTATGTACATTTATTAATAATTAAATAACTCCAGTTTGAAAGTGAATTAAAAAGTCATTTAAAAAAAAACAATAAATTAATATTATATTGATATACCGAAACTTAAATTAAATATTACCAAATATAAATCATCAAATGTAATCGTTTGTTTAAGTTTCATCAAAAAAGAGGTTTCAATATAAGGTAAGTTTCAGTAGAAAGTTAAGAAAAAGGCAAAACGATTCTAAAGCAAAACGTAAAGGAGTACTTGCTTTTGCTCTGAGGCTGTAGTCAGTGTTGATTTGGTGTCGTACTGGAGCCCATATCCATTACGTAACTGCTTCAAACCATCAGAAAACTTGTAAATTTGCGGAAAAAGGAAAAACTCGTCAATTTCACACCAGCCTCCAACAGGGAACCTTCACGGAACCATTCATAAAAACCAAAAACTGCTCAAAACTTTGGCCCAAAAAAACTTACTGCTAAATCTTCTTAAAAAACTCGTCCAAAATGTTCTCAAAAAATTTCTCGTTTCCAAAACGAAAGTTGCTCCCAAAATCTACTCCAAAAAATTACTCCAAAAAACTCCCAAAATGTCAAATCTTCCCCTTACGTTGGTAAGGGACACACCTATAATAAATGATATTTTCTCTAAGTATATGAAAGAAAGTAAAAGAAAAACTATAACTTACTCGCAGGGCTATTCTCCGCCACATACAATGTACCAAAAAACTTTTCAAAGAAGACGAGAACCACCCTGGAACTACACCAGTGGTTGAAATGGAAGTGTCGAAAAATTCGAATAAAATGTTAAAATTCTGCCAGAGATTATCTTCTGACGACAAAAAGTAAATACACACCAAACTGTGCTCGAAATAAGGAAACTTCAGGAAAGTTATTAATAACATTTAAAGAAAAATTTAAATAATAATATAAATGGCAACCCTGCGCCATCACATCGAACGGCATTCACGGTACTACCAAAATTGCAGCGGTACCGACTAGGGATGGGCATTATTTGCTTAAATTCTGCTAGAGATGTAGCGCAAAAATAAGAAATTATTTTAGGCTGCTACAACATGGCTAATTTTTCTTGTGAAGTATCCTATGGTGTAGCCATTATGAAATGTAATGTCTGCCAGCGCAATCCTGGGGCTTAAAGATGGAACGGCTAATCTAAAGGGTGAAATTTTGACACTAAAAATATTATAAGATACACGAGTTATAATTAATTGCGAAATAGAAATTTGAAACATAATACATGTAATTCTACAAATATTTTACGGTGCAGATATCGACTCAGAGGAAGACCCGTTTGCGAGAGGGAGGATCTGCAGTACAAATGAGTCAGATACAAATAGTGAGACAGAATAGTAAATGTATGATATCTGTTATTGAAATAATAAAAAATATAATTATAAGTATCGTATACATGATTTATCTATACTTAAATGCATGAGGCGGTGAGCGCTCCCCGAAAGCGCTAGGTTAATATCACGCCTTTTGTTGCGAATTGAACGAAAAGAGAATTGAAAAAAAGAAAGTACTGAGAAATAAGTATGCCAGGGCGCTCAAATGACTTACCCATTTTTGTTGCCCACGCTCTTCGGATGTACGTTAAGATGCACGTAACGTTTTTGCGAAAATATAGTACCAGAAAAATAAAAACAGTGTCAGATCTCTGCACTAGTGTTTGCGTCTTGGTCTTTACACACCGGCCGAATTGCGAATGTCTTCTGGTAGTACGCACACTTTGATCGCGCGCACTGGGCGATAGAGAAATCATCTGAGTTTGAATTTTGAAACGAAATTGAACTTAATTTAATTATTTATGCGATCATTCTCAACCAAGAATTAATAATCGAATAATGTAAAGAAAAATAAACAAAAAATTAAACTACTTATTTTTGCACGTCACTTATATTGTACAAATGATTAAATATTGTAAACCCACACCCAATTAAAGAAAACTAAAAAAAAAGAATAATGAGATGCGTGAACACTTTTGATAACAGTTTGCCGCTGATTTAGCCACGATCTTTTTATCTACTCTTTTTTATACAGCTATTAAAATAAATTAATATGACATTCCACCAATCGGCATGCCTCTATGTCATAATTTTTTTTCAAAATTTCATGCCTCTTTTGCGTTGTCTGCCGATATTTTAGCGACGAGAAAAATGTCTGCCAATAATTTCCCACGTATTTAATAATAAATAAAGCAAGCAATAAAGCAAATATTTTCACTGGTAATACCACTAGAGGTCAAATTATTTCCGGAAATTTTTTTGATCTCAAGAATATTTTGAAAATTATTTATTTTCTAAAAATATTCATGAGCGAGAAAAAATGTCCGGATTTAATTTGACCTCGTGTGGTATTCGGTAATAAAATTCCACACCAAATTGTGTTTGAAAATCAAACAATTAAAAAGTATTTTTCGATTTTTGGTCGAATTGATTATTTAGACAACTTATTACTATGACAACTAAGTGACACCCAAACCTAAAAACTATTTCAGTTTTCAAGCTGTCAAGCGGCACGGCTTAAAAAAAATGTTTCGCTTCGGCCATGAAAGCAAAGAAAATATTCGCCAGGAGATTAAGCAGTTGACACCCGCGAATACTAGGAAATCGAAGTCAAGCGTATGGAAGCAGTTTACAAACTTTCATCTAAGCTTTGTAATTGAAATGTATCAAAATTATCATGTAAACAAATAAAAACCAGACTCTCAAAAAGATATTCTGTCATTATAAACGTTAAAAAATTTCCAGTATAATTCGCTGTTGGCTGCCCACAAGGAAAAAATGTTCACTAAAATTTATCCGTTGCCATGGTGATTTGTCAAAAAACATGTTTTGATTAGTTAAAAATAGTTTCAAAATTTCACCCCTTCGATTGGTCGCCCCCGCTTTAAGCTCCGGTATCGCGCTGGCGGACATGAGTATTTTATAATGGCTACACAAAAGGATACTTCACAAGAAAAATTAGCCATGTAACGAGGTTAAGGTTTTTTATGTAGCCAGCTCTTAGACTATAACTATATGAAAATAATAGTTGAATTGTTTTTCTTATTTTTCAATAATCGATTTATGTATATAATATAAATATATGTTTTAGTTTTTTTTTCTTAGTATGAGGCTTATTTTAATAATGAAATTATACAAATAATTTCTTATGCGACGTTTTGCGCAATCATGGCGGTATGCAGCGTTTTCATTAGAAACGATATTTTCCTTTTTTAATATTTTTTTAGGTTATTTCGGTATGACAAATTATTTGAATTGTTTTTATAAGGAAAATAAACTAGCTGTTACGCAAGGTATCCCAAAAATAAGTGCAAATATTTTAACTGGTACTATATTTCGGCCACAGAAACACGTCTATGAGGTTATTTTTTGCGAAATAATAAAAAAATAAATAAAAATAAATTGTTGAAAATTTTATATTTTTCTTCACATTTTCTGGGAAATCTTAAAAAACTTTTTAGTGGCACTTGTTTATTCACCTGAGGCGCCGAATTAGCTGAAAACCCTTGTGAAAACCCCTTAATAGCCGGCTATAGCCAGCGGTTCTCAAAATGTGGCTATCATTTTTTCAAATTTTCAAAGTTAAATAAGTCAGTTATTTTCAATTTACTTTAAAAATGGTAATTTTTCTTTTTACCAGATCTACCACCACTTAAATTATCTGCACTTATTTCTGTGACACTCTGTATATATTTCAGATTTTTTAGAATACATTGCTTGAAATAGCCCACCATGACTGTGGAAACCTAAATTAATTGCATAATTTTATTATGAAATTAAACCTTATATCCAAAAAAAAATAAAAACATATTATTTTATATATTAATATTTAGATAAAGAAATGTTTAATTAAATATATTATTTTTAAATAATCACTTACACATTAATGAAAATCCATTTTCTAACTGAGGAGCATTTTCGACCAATATATGGTTATAGGCAAAAATTATGGTTACAGCATATACGAGTAAAGTATTCATTTTGAACTGCAGTAATTTGAGATGAACAATTTCTTTAAATATGTTTCTTATTTGCAGCTTATTTGTGTCCGGTGAAAAATAAGCGTTTTTAAGTGAATTGATAAAGCACGAAATAAAATATTTCCTCCATTAATATACAACATTACATATTGACTAAGGTAATAAACTAATAGCTAATACTCGTTATTTGTAAATGTCCATTCCCGTTATTCGACGCGCAATGTTACAGGAAAATATATTTTTTAAGAAAGTCGACTTTATGTTTAATCGTTAAAGAACAGCTATATGTAGCTACCACTTAAATAAAAAATATATTTATGTTAAATATCATCATCATCATTTTCAGCTTATTCAATAATTTCTAATTATGGGGTAGTCTCCCTCACATATTTAGATACTCTATTTGTAGTTGAGCCCATTGTTGTGTATTGTTGGTTATGCGGGCCCAAATTATTCCTGCTAATATCATGGTCCCATCTCAGGTTCGGTCCTTCTCTAGGTCTCCTAATTCCTCGTGGGTACCATACTGTAATTTTTGTGGTCCATCTGTTGTCAATGTCAAGTGGCCGGCCGTAGCTCCATTGTTAGTGTGTCGATCTGCGGAGCGGAAGGTACTGGGCTCGATCCCCACCCAGTACGTTCGCTTTATTTATTTAACCACCTCAAGGAAGGCAATGGCAAACCACCTTGAGTATATTTGCCTTGTACAGCCTCTCAAATAGTGCCTTCGGATTCGGCAATAAACTGTAGGTCCCGTGTACTTGTGAAACACTGATGACACACATCACAAGTACATGCGAGAGGTAGCCGACGCTCTATATAGAGTATGGCACTGTAAGAAGATCTGTTGTCAGTCCATCTTGCCAGGCGTCATGCCCATTACCACTTGAAGGATTTGATTCTGTGGATGACATCTATTACCTGGGTCTTTTGTCGTATCCACTCCATTCTTTTACGGTCTCTCTTGGTTATTCCCAGCATATTTCGTTCCATTGAGCGTTGTGCGATCTGCAGTTTCCTTATAATGTCCGTTTTACGTGTCCAGGTTTCGCATACATAGGTCATGACTGGTAGTACAAATTGGTCGAATGTTTTCTTCTTTAGATGGTGGCATTCTAGATTTGAATATGACTGAATTTCTTCCATAAGCAATAGACAGGTAAGTTCCAGGTAAATTCCATAAAACGATACACAGGTAATATAATTGATTAGTCTTTCACTGTAGTTGTTGCAAACAATTTGTCGTGTAAACATGGTAGAGTCTCGTTTCCTATTGTGTCTAACTGGTGCCTATACCTCTTGAACATATTTAGCAAGGAAACCTTACAAATCTCTGGGAAGAGCTTGTATACCAACCCATTCCTTTTTTACTTATTACTACAAGTTGTATAGCATATATTTGATAGAATGTCACAAAATCTTTCAAAAAAATTAATTAACTATTAAAAACTACATCAAAGTAAATCAATAATGTTATAACTATTTTATAACATTATTTAACCGGGTAGTTGTCAAGTTGACGAAAGAATTGCTATTGAGAGAAAATCAATGCATATACAACCACTACAGACAAGGGTGTTAAATATCCTTAAATAAGAATATAACATATACATATTTAATGGCACTACCGATCGGGGGTGCCTATTTTACTGACCAAATTTAATTTCCTTTCGGGGATTAGTTGAAAGTAATACCACCCTAATTTTGCTTCTAACACCCAAAAATAAACTTACCACCTTAACTTTGCTACTACTACCCAAAAATAAATTACTACCACCTTAATTTTGCTACTACCACCCAAAAATAGACTACTACCACCTTAACTTTGCAACTACCACCCAAAAATAAACTACTACCACCTTAATTTTGCTACTGCCACCCAAAGTCCTCGTGGGTGGAAAGTAACATATAATGGTCTGGAGAAAGTAAGAGCTCACGTTCAGAATATGGCCTAGCGATGAGAACATCTGAGCTGGAAGGTCTAGATAAATCCCTAAGGAAAATCTGTAATAGATTCTTGTTGTGCAAAAGGATTGGTGGTAATAGGAAATCGGTATATTTGTGGAACAATGCGATTGCCGAACTGAGAAAAAACTGCATTTGTTTGAGACGATTAATTAAGAGGTAGAATAAAAGACTGGGGACTCATGTGGCCGTCACTAACTTGGGTGAATAGTATAAAGGGGCAAAAAAGAAACTCAAGGAGGAGATTGCAAGATCCAAAAAGCAAAAATGGGAAGAACTGTGCGACGAACTGAACGCGGATGTGTGGGGAAGGGCATACAGAATAGACCCCAGGAAGTTTGTTGTTCCTATCCCGGCAGATGAAGTCAGAGAACAAGTGAGGGCTCTTTTCCCTTACGATACCAGACAATGAATGGGGTAACTTGAATATACCTACTGAGGAAGTGCCGGTTTTTACTACGGATGAAATTTTATGCGCCGCGCGTAACATAAAGAATGGCAAAGCGGTAGGTTTGGACAGAATACCTGGAGAGGTGTTGAAAGCAGCAGCTTTGAAGTATCCGGAGTCCATTGCTAGCGTTATGATAGCTGGTTTTGATAGAAAAGCCCAAAATGGAGAGTTCATCTGCGATAAACTACAGACCAATATGCCTACTTAATGCCGGCGGGAAACTCTTTGAGTCCTTAATAAATGCTAGACTGGAGATTGAACTGGAGGAAAACGATAGACTGTTCGATAGGCAATTTGGATTCAGAAAGGGCAAATCCACAATAAACGCTCTTAACATAATTGTGGACAAGGTCGACCTGATAAGGCAACGCAGCTGGAAGAGTAGGGGATACGTAGCCCTTCTCACCTTGGATGTGAAAAACGCATTTAACTCTGGTCCCTGGCGGGGTAGTATAGACCAATTGAAGTCAATGGGGATCAGCAGGTACATAATTAGGGTAATCCAGTTCTACTTATCATGCAGGAAAATAGAGGCGAAGGACGGTCAAACCTATAAAATATAAAATGAGTTGCGAGGTTCCTCAGGGATCAGTACTTGGCCCGACGCTGTGGAACGTCTTCTATGACCAGGTGGACTGAGGTTGGACATAGGAACTGGGTGCGAGATTTTTACTTACGCAGATGATCTGGCACTCCTGATCACAGCCTCAACGCCTAATATGTTGAAAATAAGAGTAGAGACTGCGGCGCTAATAATAGGCAACAAGCTGGATAGCATGGGTATCAGCTTAGCAAAACAGAAGACGGAGTTGCTTGCTTTGGTGGGACAGCGGAAATTAGAAGGGTGGAGAGCTGAGCTCATGGGAGTGACTATTATGCCCTGCAAAGCTGTAAAGTACATGGGAGTGTGGTTGGACAGCGGTCTGCGTATGACCACCCACGTCCGCAGAAAAAACCGCAGTGGAAAAGGCCACACGTGCAACCAACACCCTGTCGCGGGTTATGCCCAATGTTGGCGGACCTAGGGCTATGAAGAGGAGGACAATAGCATCGGCCGTGACTTCTATGATATTGTATGCCGCTCCAATTTGGAGAAGAGCTATACAATATCAACACTATCAAAATATGCTGCAATCTATGATTAGGAGATTGGCCTTACGTATTACGAGCACCTACCGCACTGCGCCGACAACGGCAGTACTGGCATTGGCTGGTGTCATGACTATTGTACACCAGGTAGTCTGCCTTGAAGTAATGCCCGGGCGGTTCCAAGACGGAGATTGATGTTTGATAAAGATGGGTTTTTAGTGGGTAGGCCCTCTGGGTAGAGTAGAGAGAGAGACCCACACTCCGGCCCTGAAGGCGTTTCCCATCTAAAAATGACTACCACGAAAAAATAAACTACTACCACCTTAATTTTGCTACTACAACCCAAAAATAGACTACCACTTTAATTTTGCTACTATCACCCAAAAATAAACTACTACCACCTTAATTTTGCTACTACCACACAAAAATAAACTACTACTACCACCTTAATTTTGTTACTAACACCCAAAAATAAACGACTACCACTTTAATTTTGCTACTATCACCCAAAAATAAACTACTACCACCTTAACTTTGCTATTACCACCCAAAAATAAACTACTACCACCTTAATTTTGCCACTACCACCCAAACTTTGCTACTTTTTTTGCTACTACCACCTTAACTTTGCTACTACCACCCAAAAATAAGCTACTACCACCTTAATTTTGCTACTACCACCCAAAAATAAACTACCACCACCTTAATTTTGCTACTACCACCCAAAAATAGACTACTAACACATTAATTTTGCTATTACTACCCAAAAATAAACTACTACAACTATAGTTTTGCTACTACCACTACCACTACCATAAGCAACATAAAAATAAAATGCAAAAATATCAGGAGTAAGAAAACAAACAAGATTAAATAAATTAAACAATGCGTTTCTAAATATGCTTTTATGGTTTGCACTGCAAATCTCGGATTAAATTTTAAGTACTTAGTAGAGATTTTTCAAAAAGCAAAATATTTATTAACTATTTCATAACTCTACCTTCTACTAGCTTAGACCCCATTGACTTATTGTTCAACTTGCAAACCTTTTTATTAAGTTCAATTTTAAAAGTATTTTTTCGTTTTGAGCTGGCGATGTAAAGGGAGTACGAGAAACAAGTACGGTGGTAGACAAACAATTAAGGTGGTAGTAGTCTATTTTTGGGTGGTAGTAGCAAAATTAAGGTGGTAGTTGTACGTACTTAGATAGTAGTAACGTATATAAGCTGGTCAGTAAATTACGCTGGTTAGTAAAATAGATTTTCCCGTCCAAAATATCCAAGTAATTTTACTATAAAAAAATGAAAAAATATTGCAGACGTTTTGAAAATCACTGGATTTTTACTAAATATGTTACCATACCATCAATCGTATGTTGTTGTTTAATTCAAAAGTTAAAACTTTTCCAAAAAAATGGTTTAAGAAATACAAAAATTAAAAAAAAAATGCGAAAAAAGATCTCGTAAACTTGTTCCTACATTCAAAATAATCCAAATATATTTGACCTTATTTAACACTCACCCTCTATAATAGAACAATCGATGACAATTACATGATATTTGATATACCGATTTTTATATTCATATGATTGTTAAGATAAAAATAAATACATATCATAAAAAGTATTTTATTTCTTGTATTTATATCTTATACTTATACTTTTAGTAACTATTTATTTAGATGTACCCTTAATTATTTAGATGTACCCTTGACACCGTCAACAGCGGAGGGATAGAAGAACATCTCTTCTGATAGCGAATGTCAGAAATCGTGTTCAGTTCAGGGTATATAATATATGTTTACTTTACCATTAGTATATCGAATCAATAAAATTTGTAGATGTTACATTTATCCTCAGTAGTTTGGAATAAGATTTTTATTGTGTTGTGTTCAGTTTTATTTGGATATTGAAATAAATTTTAGAAAATAACTTAGAATTATGCACTAATAACATAATGTATAATGATTAAATATAAAGTGATTATGCAGAGATATTTCAATTATCACCCAACAATCTAAGATGAACAAAACAAGTTATCATTTATTATAGTTTAATTTAATCATCATAATTTTACTTGTACGAGATCTAAGTGCTTACGCCTTTTCATTTATCATTCTCTCTAACTTTCTATATTCTTCGTTGAAATCCTACTGGTAAGTAATGACAGTTTGTTCAAACAAATGTTGTGAAAGAAATTATGACATACAAAATGTATCGCGTAGTGGTTTGATACATAACGGGCTTAGTACCGAGGATGTGGTCGATGTCCTCTTAGGTTATCCCATTGGCAACCCAAACAATAACGCCGACAGTATGATGGACATGACTGTCTCTGTGAAATTGTGGATTGCGACTTTTACCACGTCGTCTTCTCACCTATACCTGGTAACGAGTCACGAAAGATCACATGATTCCATTCCTGATCTCATTGAATTCTCTTTCGACACCACGCAAGTTGTCGTCTTCTCACCTATACCTGGTCACGAGTCACGAAAGACCACATGATTCCATTCCTGATCTCATTGAATTCTCTTTCGACACCACGCCAGTGGCAGACGGTTAGGACGATGTTCGTCAGTTTACGCCCCACAACACCGTAGTATGGCGCTTAAAGATTTGTTGGCTCTTCTGGAAATTTCTCGTTCCAACAATGCTTCGTGCAATCCAAAAATTCGACCCCTTCAAGGTCAGTAAGCTGTGGTCCGAGTATGTATAGTTTATCTGAAGTCAGTTGGAATAGATTGGGACTCCAATTTCGGCACTATCTTTGTCGGCGCCTTTGCCGGCATCCTCGGATCAAAAGAATTAAGTATCTGAGTACTTTCAATTGACTTCGGATATACTATAATAATATTCATATATCACGGGACCTATAAATTTAATCGATTAAACTATTCAAATATATTTTGCTTGGAAAATAGTTGAATGCACAATAATTTAATAAAAACCCGAGACCGCAAAGCGGTCGTGAGTTTTTATTCTAAAATTATTGTGCATGAAATTATTTTCTAAAAATCAAAATCATGCAAAAAATTATTTGGGTATTTTAATCAATTAAATTTATAGGTTGAGTGATGTACGGCTATATTATTTCCTGAATGACTTAGAATGAAGCCAATGACTTAGGATGAAGCAAATAACTATAAGAATTTTATTAACTATAAAATTTAATGTTTTTAAATGAACTGTTGCCAAAATCTCTCAGAATTAGTGATAAACGACAAAAAGAAAACCCAAAAGGATGCCGAAAAAATAATCCCGGTTAAACTGGTCTTAGGATTTAATCACTTATCTGAACAAAATTTATTCGAAAAATTAGATTAGCTGATTCGTCCATTTCACGATGAAGGAATTAATCTCCCAAAAATTAACGCACCAATGTGAAATTCTAATTTTTTAAATATTTTTTTCCCAGAGGGGAATTCCTACCTTCAGTTTATATTTTGCATAGTTTTTGCCCGATATGTGCCAATTTTTTCTTAAACTTTTTTACAAGAATTCACAAACAAGTAGTAAGGTATCAGAATTGAATTAGTTCTCAGTATTTTTAAAGTACCTCCTGCGTTTACTTTGTATTTCTTCTCCAAATCTTCACTAGTTTTAATTATTATGGAACCTCCCAGTCTAAATTTAACTAGCGAAGAATGCGCTCAAGCTGTAGTGTTGTGGAAAGAGGGAACCTTCCGAAGAATTGGTCGTCGATTTGATGTTAATCATACAGCCATTTCACGGGTAGTACTAGTACACAAATTCCTAGAAACAGGAAATCATTCTCGTAGGTCAGGACTAGGTCAAAATAGCATTACAACACCAAATCAAGATAGATTTTTAAGAATTCTGCCTACAGATATGCCTACATAGCCTACAGATTCAACTGCGTGAGGTCCGTGGTCTGGAAATTAGTCATGAAATAGTTCGATTACGATTAAGAGAATCTGATTTAAGACCAAGAATTGCTGCTCGAGGTCTTTCTTTAATCATAAATCACCGACGAGAAAGACTACGTTTTGCCAGAGAATACGTAAATTGGTTTAGAGGCTGATTGGGAACGTGTGCTATTTACAGATGAGTCCCGATTCTGCTTGTACAATAATGATAAACGCGTCCGTGTTTTTCGACGACACAATGAACGTTATGCCCAATGCAATTTCTCACAAACTACATTATTTGGAGGAGGGTCAATTATGGTTTGGGGAGGGATTTCTGTGACGGCGCGTACCTTTCGCACCATATATCGGTGATAATTTCTTGTTCTCGTTGCTTCAACGCCAGACCGCACGTTGCACGAGTTGTCAGAAATTATCTAGACGAGGTCCAAATTAACACCCCGGCATAGCCGGCTCGTTGTCCAGACCTAAGTCCTATTGAAAACCTGTGGGATATCTTAAATGGGCTGTTAAGATCAGAACCATCGAACCAAACAATCTGGAAACGTTGGGTGAGAGGCTAATCCATATCTAGGAAAATTTGAATCAAGATGCAATAAGGCAGCTTATTTTAAGTATAAATCAATGATGCCAAGATGTTATTCGTGCCAGAGGTGGAAACACTCGCTTCTAAAAATGTTTTTGTCCAATTTTGTTTTTATACCGCCAATTTCAGAATTTTCACTTTTTTAGAAATTTCGGGATTATTCTTAAGATTAAACAGATTAAGAAGTAGTTTAACTATAATTAACTTTACTATGATTTATTTAATATCAATAAACCTGATTTAATATTGTGGTGCGTTAATTTATTGAAAAAGTGTATTTTTTTAATTCTTGAATGAACTACAATTGAATCGCTACAATGTGTATAATAAGAATATAAAACTAATATTGTTAATCAAACTATGTTTTTTATAGCTACTTTAAGAACTATGTGAAGATTTATTATGTTTTCGGGAAGTTAATATTTATCAAAAAATATATAATCATCGTATTATTCAGAGGCTGTAATATTAATTTGATGCTTATTTTGCTATTATTCTCGTAAGTAAAATTATTACATTCAATAGGTTTATTTTTTTTAGGAAAATTTGAGGCTTAAAACTTAATAATAACTTTAAATTTGCATTGACTAATCGATAAATTTGACTATAATTAATAAACATATAAATAAAAAAGATCTATACTATCATAATATGTATTTATAAAAAAATATAGAAAATATATTCATGGTACTAATTAACAAATATCTAGTAACATACACATGTATTATTCAGGCTACAGTAACCGCTTTTTTTCTTAAAAATGTAACATTTAAGCCCACAAAGTCCTTCGCTGAGTTTAAATCCTTTTATTTCCCAGTCAGGAAGATTACATGCCGATCTTTTCGCTCGATGTAAACCTAAAATATACAGTTAAATAAAACAAATGTATACAGGGTGTCCTAGAAAATAAGTGCAAGTATTTTAACTGGTAGTATATTTCGGCCTTATCAAACACGCCTATGGTTTTTTTGCGTAAAATATAATTTTCAAAGTAAAATAACTCGGTTTTTGGACTTACTTGAAAAGCAGTATAGAGAAAAAACGTTCCTTTTGACCAGATATACCATCCCTTAAAATGCTTGCACTTATTTCTGGAACACCTTGTATAGTGACAGTATTTTTGTTATAAGAAGACGTAATTAACTAATTTATAATTTGTAAATATTTTACAACTTAATTATTAAGCACACACTCGCCGAGGTAACCCGAGGCGCGACAAAAAAATAGCGATATGCATGCGGCTATCGATTAGAACCGTCCATTTTTATCGCGCCTCGGGTCCCCTCGGCGAGTATGTACTTACCAGCATTTTAGGATTGTTTATGGAGGAGGTTTCCTATATTTATTATATTTTTCCAAATCATTTATCAACGGTTTTTGATAAACGTTAAAAAACTAAAGTGTTCTTGAAGAGTTTTTAGATATTTTAAATAGTTTTTCTTTCTTTGTGTTTTTTTTGCTTCCGACGACGGAAAAAGATATATTTCCCGAAAAATTAAGATTTTTTCTCTTTAGGAAAATTTGTTTTATTAGTAAAATACCACTGACAAGTTGATCAACACAAGTTGGATTAACGCCAGCGGTGTTTACAAAAAAAATAACTATTTTATTTTGTTAATTTTCTTACTTAGATTTTTTTTTTTAGAAAGAATCAGGAAATATCAGATGAATCTGCCACACATGTATAGACATTCTTTACAAATCATTTTATAAATACTGGAACTCAATTATTTATGTCTGATCATTATTGCTAATATAATATAATATGCTGATATTTATGTTTAAAATATTTATTTTAACTTATTTTGTTAAAATTACTAATTAGATAGTTGTCGAAGGTTAATTATTAATTAAAAATAGTAAATTGTATTTAAATTGTTATAGGTAGAGATTAATTTTTGAAGTTAAGAACAAGATGACAACATTATTTATCAAAATGGCATCATAAAGTGTTAATTCCAAATTCATTATTGCGAAATGTTGTAACTACTCAATCTAATCAATTCAAAATTGAAACAATCTACTGAAATTTAAATAAAAGAGGTTTTTATTCGAATTGCCGAAATAAATTTATAATAAATTTCACAATTAATATTTATTCAAAATATATGCAGTAAGAATCGGTTCTTCGAAAAAACTAGATATTAATAATTGTATATGTTACGGCTAAAATTGACACTTGGCTAGTTTAAAAACTAGCCAGCTATTGTGCAAACAAACAGCACAACCAACACCACAAAGAGACACCTAACCAACAAAATAACGGCGCTTTTTGCAAAATAGCTATCATATCTGTAAAAATAATTACCAAGTTATTCCCATATCAGCTAATAAAATATACAAGGTCCGGCAATAGTGCGTCGGGCATCTGTAGCTCCTAGAATAAAAAACTTGGGTATTTTGTTTAAGTGTAAACCTACAGTATATACAAGGATGTATTTCAGGAAAATATTTTAACTTCTATAGGGTGGCTCAAAAAGTGTGAGTGGATTGGGATGATTTTTTTTTGAAACGGAACACCCTGTATATTATTGCATTTTTGGCTTCCTTTTAGATCACTTTCCATAATCCTAAGATATGAATAAATATATTTCGATAGTTTCAGAGCTATTAATAAATAAATAAAAAATATATTTTTTTTCATTCTTCATTAAAAAAATATTACAAATACAAGAACTGTCCTGAAACTAAAAAATTATATTAGGTATTTAATTTAGATGGTCTATACTTTGTTATAAATATCGTAATCTTAAATCATACAGGACGTTCAAAATTCTACGCCAAACTTTCTAAAATATAAAATAATTTTTCTTTGTTTTTTAAATGCAACACTCTGTATATTATTTTTGTATTAGTTGGAGTATTAAAAAATTTACATTTTTTGTATTTAAAGTTTTTCAAAATTTTTAATGGTTTTGCAGATACACGCAGTATTTCATATGGCTCTCTCAACAGCAAAATACGAGAGAAGAATTATTGGGTGGCTTTGTAGTGGCTAGTGTGGCTTGCCATATGAAATATAAAACCTGGAATATCAGCGAAACCGTTAAAAATCGTAAAATGCTATAAATACAAAGAATATTGAATTTTTAATTATCCACCTATTGAAAAATTAATATATAGGATGTTCCATTTAAAAAACGAACAACAAATATTTTATATTTTAGAAAATTTAGCGTCAAATTTTGAACATCCTGTATGATTTACGATTACCATATAGCAAAGTAAGTACAGACCATCTAAAGTAAATACTTGATATATTTTTGATTTCAGGACAGTTGTTGTATTTTTAATATTTTTTTTAAGAAAGGCTGAAAAATGTATATTTTTTATTTATTTATTAATATCCCTCAACCTATCGAAAAATATATACTCATATCTTAGGATTATGTAAAGTGATCTGAAAAAAGCCAAAAATACAATAATATACAGAATTTTCCATTTAAAAAAATCATCCGGATACACTAACAATTTTTTGAGCCACCCTATAGAAGTTAAAATATTTTCCTGAAATGCATCCTAGAAACTTTAGATTTGCACTTAAACAAAATTCTCAAGTTTTTTATTCTAGGAGCTACAGATGCCCAACGCACTATTGCCGGACCCTGTATGTAGAAGTAGACAAAAACTGCAGTTGCTACAACATATTTTTTTAAAGAAGTAAATAGACATAGATTAGTAGTAAGAGCGTTAATAATGGAACTATGCAAGAGTGCACTATGTAGAAATTCTTAGTATTGTCACAGGTATTGTTTTTGATATTTTTAAGAAAAACAAGAAAGCTTTTCTTTGAAAAAAAAGTTTAAAATTTAATCCACAAGAAGCAATTAAATGACATCTTGGGCAAATATTTTCTTGTCACCTGATATAGTCCACGATGTTCTCTTATAATTTAAAATTACGATATTTCTTTAAAGGTTTTCGCATTCTTTCAAAGTAGGTAAATTAAAAAATAATAACTTTTATGAAAAAGTTGAATATAAATAGCAATATGAGATAATTTTATAGTATTTTCTAATGAATTTTACATATTTCGGAGACCATAATAAAGTTTTTAATTTTCTCATATAATCTAAAATATTTCATAAAAAATTGTTAAATGCTATAATAAGTTTTGCTTTACATTATCTTACCACAAAGAATAATTGGTTCAAGGTATACTATATTGTAGCCGTAATACCGTATGATCGAAAAAAACGGCGTCCAGATAGCTTGGAAATGAACATCGATGACATTCCCTATATCATATAAAATGACAGCGATCTTCATTACATAGCTATCACTCACGCCGTTTTTTTTCTCGATCATACGGTATAAATATCATTGGTTTATAATATTACAAAATTTACTTAATTTTGCTATTATAAAAATTTCACTTACCATAAGCCTCCCCATCTAAATTTTCACTAACAGCTGCAGTATGTATGCTGGACACTAACATCACAGCTAAGATAAATGCCAAAACTATAAATTTACACATTATATCTAGATCTATTTGGTCAGCAAAATAATCAAAATGTATTTGAGGTAAATCTTCTTTGAGCGATTTTATATGATCATCAGGGGAGTATTTAGCCTTCAAGCAGGAGATAATTTTTAATCTTTATATATAAAAATTCCCATAAATTTTATCTTGAAGGATCGTCATGGTTTAGTTAAATGTATCATATCTATTAAAAAATAGATTATTCTGTATCATTTGTTAATTGCCTAATATATTTTGACAGGGTCCAGGCTTTTCAGATGTCATCACCAGTATAGGCATGATAGTCAGTTGCTACTTGTCGTATAATGCCGATATGGAGAGCTTAGAAACATCTTTAAGGGCGATGGAAGAACTGATTCGAGGATTTCATAAATCTGTTATCATAGGAGGAGATATTAATGCTAAATGGCCACAATGGGGTATGTTATTTACAGATAAAAGGAAACAAGTTGTGACTGAGTGGATTGCATCCAATAACCTAATAATTGCCAATAGAGACAATAAACCTAATTTCCCAAGACAAAACTATACGTCCATGCCTGATTTAAGAGTTATATATGAAGAAACTGGCATTAAAGACTGGAAAGTAAGCAACAAAGGGACGCTTAGTGACCACAATTATATAGTCTTCGAAGGTGTTGGAAAATTAAACCCTTCTCCCATCTTAAATGAACAGAGTGGATGCCGTAGATGAGCGGAAGAAAAACTTCAGAAAGCTTTAAATGAGATTGATCTTGATGGAGACGACGCCACTACTGTATACCAAAGTATAGTCGTAGGCGTATTTCTGCATATTGGTGGAATGAATAAATTGCGTCATTGCGAACGCTATACATAAAGAAGAGGCGGATCTATAGAGGCAAGCTAACGATAAACGAATTGAAAGTGAAAGACTGTGGGAATATAGACATAACAAAAATAATAATCTACGGTTGAGGGCTTATGTCATGACAGACGAGGATCGTCATAGAAGCGAGTCTGGGAAATCCCATATCTCAACTGTTGGACAAAATGCCGTGACAAAATGTTACCAAAGGAAGCACCTATGAAAAATATCAAATTTAATAATGATTTTATAGAAGGTATTAAAGTGATTGATACAGTTCGAAAAAAATATGGTTTAACGTTCCAATTTCTCTACAATCGCAAAAGGGATATACATTTACATCTATACGATGTAAATGGGACGGAATTAGACAATGTCTTCTTAACCAGAAGAAGAGTGTTAATATTTTTTTGGCAAAATGTTTTAATGATCTAATCCATATAATTTTGTAAGAAGTAACAAGTTCTACATAATTTTCGCCTTTTGTATGAGATAACTGCTTCTATCTGCCTTTCCATAGTGACCAAAACCAGACCAAAACTTTTTTTATATGGAATAAAATCATTACATCAAAGCAAAACCTTTGAAGGCGGGTAAAAGGACAATAACTCACAATCTTTAAGTTTAATTTAAATTTTAATGATTAAAAAAGTAAGGGGGGCGACATGTTTCGGGAATTTAAATTATTCCCATCATCAGACCCAAAGACAAAAGTCACCTAGGAAGTACAACCACTCGGAAGAAATAAAATTAGTTAGAGTTGTTAACATTTACACAACTCATGCATTGTAATTATAAATTGTATAACTCTTCAAGAAGGAAGCCTTTCGTTGTAATACCAAATAAATGTCTTAAAAATCACTACAGTTGGGGGTTTAATACCTTTGGTGTTACACAGCAAAATAAAACACTTTTACACTGGACGCGCGTTTCGCTAACCATGTTAGCATCATCAGCAGATAATTATAAACTAAAATACAATCTACAAGTTGAGCGTTTATATACTCACTCAGTGGGCACCGGGAGGAAGGGGGTGGCAAAATCTAGCCAACCGAGTCAGAGCCAACCGAGCGTAACAGTTAAATTTACGCCACTAGAGTAGTAGTAAGTAAATTTTGAACATGGTCAAGATATTTGTATGTTAAATGTGGTCGAGATATAGAATATAAATCTTGGTTTATTGATTTTATTCCAGCAAAATAAAACACTAAATCACCACAATACACCAAAATACTTTTACTTTTACACTGGACGCTCGTTTCGCTAAATTTTTTGCTAACCATGTTAGCATCATCAGCAGATAATTAAACTAAATTACAGTCTACAATTTGAGCGTTTATACACTCGCTCAGTGGGCACCGAGTGGGCGGGGCAAGATCTAGCCAACCGAGCGTAACAGTCAGATTTCCGCTACTAGAGTAGTAGGAACAAAGAACTTGCAGGAATTGGACCGTTGTCTCTGTTCATACTACCTTTACATTTATTAATTCTGATGCTCTCATATGCATCTAATTGTCTGTAATTTGAGACTTTTTAATTAATTTTAAATTATTAAGATCTATACAATGTTCTTTATCAACAATATGTTCAGCAACGCAAGATTTATCCGGTCTACCATATCTTTTCTGAGATAAATGTTCTTTAATATTGTTAGATTCTATTTGCAATATTTGAATCTGGCGCTCTTTTTAATTATCTGGTTGTTCACGCATGTGCGCCAAGAAGGCGGGACGCGAACGACAGTGAAGGGATAGCGTTGCCGCGGCAGTCACTGCTTGACATTAACCACGAATTCAAAAGAATTTAACATCAGGTGTGGGGTAATAAACCCGGGTGGTTTTCGTGTGCCTGTGAATTTTGTGTGACTTTATGCTAATTAAATTAGCAATGGCCAAGCGTGCTACAATCGAATCTGTGCCCATCTTCAACGGCGGGCATTGGAAACTCCGCCTATACGAGTGGTTTGTAAAAATAAATTGGTATGAAACTGAATTTCGTTGGTCTGATCGGGAAACTGTAAGTAGAATTGTCCCTTTTTACTTAAATCTGCTAAACGATGGTTTACTGCATGGAAACCCACCCACGAAAAATGGAAAAATTTTAAAACAAATTTTTCAGCTGTTTTCAAAAAAAATACCAAATTACAAGGATAAGCTCATGATCGATGCATATAACTTTCAAAATTGCCATGCTCATAGTAACATTGAGTAAGCACGCATAAAACTTGAGAAATTAAAATTGCTCTCTTGTTGTTTCAGAATATTGAGAAAAGGTTTAGTCAATTTAAAAAGTGATATTAATAACATCAAAGTACGAAGTTAACACTGTGAAAGTTCTTTTAGAAACCAAGATAATGATACAGGTTTTAGGACTGAATTTTAGATCTATAGCTCCGTAGTTTTAAATGGGGGCTTTTGTAGTTTTATATACATATTCAAACCAAACTTACGATCATCAATAAACGTAATAAAAGGTTCTGACAATACGATAAACATGTAATTATTAAATTAAAACAGAAAAAAAAATAAGAAAAAAAAATACAGATTTAGGGTATTCAGCTAAAATAAAGGTAATGTACACCAGGATTTTTTAAGATTTCAGGAGAATAGCATAAATTGGACTATTTTAAATAACGACAGATACCACATTTCCATTTCGCGTGGTTTTAATCATGTTTAACTATAAAATAAAATATCCCCGAATTTTTCTGGTATCGATTGTATTACAAAACTAATTAAAAGTTATGATAAATTTATTTGTACTAAAGATTGAAGAAAAGTACCAAGAAAGGCTGGGCATTTGATAAAGGGAAGCCAATAAGTCGATTCCAGAGCTATCGGATTTCAGTTCTAAGAAACTTATCAGTTAAATGTTGTTCCATATTTTTCTCAACGCAAGTCTAATGAAGTGTCTAAATATCAATCATGAGACCTTGGCGACTGTTTATAACTCGGTGCTTTGTCAGTATTTTACGAAGTAAGTCAGATATTTTTTACTCTTTTTTCTTTTGGTAGCGATTTCAAGCTTATGAGTATAGATGAGTTAACAATTTTAGTATTGAATACCGAAATGGTGTTATTTTTCAACGGGGCCGACTATTCCAGATGAAGTCGAATTGAAAATGTTTGTCAACATGGCCTACTGGTAACTGAAAAATACGAAATATGACACCGAAACAGAAACTTCAAGGTAATTTTTGTTGTTAAAATAATATTTAAAAAAATATGTGGCCAACTTCTTTTTTATATAAAAGCTTTGTGTCGAGAAGTCGAAAGGCAGCCGTTTTGATTTATTAAGATTGTTTTCCGACAAGCAGTGTTACGTTACAACTGAAAAAAAGATCTTTTATTGAACTAAACCATTATTTTTTATTTTAACTCATGGATCAATTTGTTAAGAAGTATTATGATGAATGCTTAAAATGTATTGTTACTAAAAACATACAGTGTAGGTACTTTTTAAGTCACCGCATGACATGAAGTTTCAGGTGTACTCTTAATCGACGGCTTTTGTAAAAAGGCGGTATCACAGGAAGTTTAGAAAAAGTACGCCATTATAGAATTATTCATTTCACCGATAAATAACTATAAATTACTATAAAAAAAGCTGAATAAATAACGGTGTTCGAGATATTGAAACGCTGACTAAATCTACGAGTATTACTTGACGTTCCGAAAAATGTGTAAAAATATTGAAAACTACGAACGTAGTAGAAAGCAAGCTGTTTATGTAAAAGAAAGGATTAATTGAATTATCAGTATTTGTGATTATCTCTCCAGATGTAGCCATTAGGAAAACTTAAAAAGTATTTTCCGATTTTGAGATTGTAAAAGTGGCCAAAGAAATTTGATGATGATCCTGCGAATTCTCCGTAAAATAACGCTTTGCAACCTGTTGATTTTGTTGAAAGCCAGTTTCTTTGTAAAATAACGCTTGACACCGCCATGATTTTCAATCGAGCGGTACATTGCGAACGATAACAAATTTGCTAAGAATAAGTTGAAGAAATCGTCAGTTTGGCCGAACAAAGTTTTGTGGGACATTATGCCATTAAACAGTTATTGGCTAATGAGCGATATTCAATTCGGAAGTTGGGCGCGCAAACAAACCTTTAGTGTTCTAAGGACCAGTTGCGTTACTGGCCATCTGATTAGACTCTATCAGTAGAACTAAACAGTTGTAAGTTGTAAATTGGGCTGAATAAAAAAAATAAAGAAATCAGACTATTTTTGTTTTTTTTTTAT